ATATTTAGTCATTTTGCATTAGCAAAGGACAATGGAGACAACAGAGTTTTTTGCTGTTGGTGAGACATCGTAAACAATTGATGTTGTGGCTTGAACTAAATCGTAAATAAAAAAAGTTATTGGAATGGAAGCCGATATTGAAAAGGGGCGTCTGAGCGAAGAGGGCAGCCCGAATAGCTCCTCCACTGTCCAGCAGTCACAATCTGAGAGGAAAATGACCTATTGAAAAATAATGACTGTGGATTAAAGGACTCGGGATCAAAATGAGCTTGTTTCTGCCTTTACACACTTTACAGAGGAACTCTATCAATGTGAAAAGTGAAGCACAAAACACACCCGTTAGGCCTTTGAAAACACAAAAAGATATGTTTTAATCTAACGAGAAATGGCTGAGGTAGTTGTTTTTTCAGCTTGAAAAACTACCAATCAAAAACCAGTGCATCACAATTGAACTGCAAAATCATTAAACAATCTCGATTCACTCACCGTTCAGCTACTGTTGAGGCGTGAGCAGAGCACTTTCACATGGCTGCAGTCTGCAGTGAGCGAGCGCTGGAACGCCATCTGGGCCCCCGGAGACACCGGTACGAATTTCGAGTTGCCTCAATCTTTTCATCGTTAAAGTTAAAGTGCTCAAGAGAAATATTTTGTCCGTCAGTCGGACCTTTCTTACCAGGAAACGGCTTTCCTGAATAATCTTTTAACGAACTCTAATTTGCAGTATTCAACACCGACGGCCAAAACATGTGAGGGGAGTCAAGTGTGATGTTTTCAATTTAGGCCGGTTGGCGAAAACACGCTGCAGGGCGGCTCCCTTTCCCGACGCTGCTGCCGGTGAGGCTGCAGTCTTGCTTAGCCTGCCTTCAAGACCTCCGGGGATCAGTTGCTCCTTTCTGTGGGAACTCCGGGGTCCAACCTCTCCCACAGACATCACAAGCTACCCTTGGCGCTGGCTTACGCATGCACACACACACACGCGCGCACACACGTGTGCTTGTATATCGCACGTGCATGCATTGCAACTGACAAAAGACACAACCTCAAAGGGGAACCGTTGCTATTACCTTATGATCCCCCGCCAGCCTGATTAAAATGTGACAGCTTTCTTATTGCTCTGCTCGTCTTTCTATTTTTTGTTTCTGCTGTCAGCCATTGATTTCCCCGGCCTGATCTAATCCTGGGTTCACATAGCTGAGCATTAATTAGAGGAGGGAGATGCAGCCGGAGGGAGAGCCAGTGTTACACACACCCAAGGCTTACAAAACTGCAGGTTCAAAGTTGGCTCAGCGGCCAGTGGAGGGAAACAGATGCGCAGACACCTTCAGTCTAATTTATGTTTTCCGCAACTCAACGTCTCCCATAAACCCACTTTGATAATCAAGTCTGTAATTTCTCCTTCCCAATTTTCTTGCTGCTCTCCCTGTTGGGGTGCAGGTCGCTCGGATCTGAAGCCGCGATATCTTGTGGCTTTGGAACAAAGTTCTCACAAAGCTGTCGCCGTAAGGAGCGCCGGGTCCCTCTCTGCCTTGGTGGAAGCGTGATTGAAGAGAGCTGGAAGGGCCCGTCCTGCCTGCTCGGGGGGAAAGGAGACCAGAGGAGCTCCTGCGTACCACTTACCATCTGGAGAAAGTCACACCAGACTAGTTTCCACGTCAGTGTGGCTCTGCTTCCATCTACTGGGCGCTGGGGGCAACAGCCGGGGGACATAGGGATGTGGACGAGAACGCCGTGTCTCTGCGTCACCGAAGGTTCCTTTTAAATCAGAGTAATCGTTTTAGTGAGTCGCTAACTTCTGACAACTGTCCTGTAAACCTGCATGCCGCGTCTTTCACTCTTTGTCCCTCTCGGATGGAGCATATTTCCTCACAGGCCCCACACAGTCCTCAAATGCATATCTCAAAGTGGTCTCAAATATATTTCACAAATTGTCGTCCATGCTGAGGGTGCAAGGAATGCATTCAAATATGTGGACTAAAGTTTGGTTTGGTTAAAAGCAACAATAAGGAGATGTATTTCTCATAATAATAAAACTAGAACAGATTCACATACTGGATAATGTTATTTTGTTGTATTTTGGTTTGTTAAGTTGAGGATTAAATAACCTCACAGGAAAGGGAGGGGTGCAGATGTGGCTGTTTACAAGCCGCTGCTGCAGCATCGAATGTAACCGAGGACGGATTAGCCCAATTATTTTTTCCACATTAAAGCGGCAGTCAGGCTGACTAACCTCGGTCAAGGTAAATGACTGAAGCTGTGATAAATAGAGCTGACCAAAGTCTGTTGGAGCATTTGCTCATTGTGTTTGAAATGTAAGCAGGTGTTGTCGGGGAGTCTTCTGCAACAATATGAAGAATTTTACCTTCAGACAAAGTGAAAGAAACGAGAACTGGTGGCAACTTGATCAAATAGAGAATATATATATTTCTTTTTTTATGAAAACCTACATTGTCCACCTGTCACACACTCTTGTACCCCCGCTTCACGGGTAATACAGAGTAATCAAATAACGAAAGGAACATCAGCTTGAACTGACACTGTGTCTCAGGAAGAGCAGCAGACTTCAATCTCTCTGCTGCTGAACCGAGTCTGTCGACTTAATGCCAATCCAATGAATCTTTGAGTTACAGCGAAGATAACCACTACCGTGATGGGAGGAGGAGGACAATCAAAGGTTGTTGGCTCTTGTGCTGCTACACGGCTTGTAAATAACACGCTTTGGATGGGAAATGAATTTGCTGCACATTTGCTCTCATTACGACGAGGGAAAATTGTTAAGTGCGGCATGGCTGCCTCTGGGCAGGAGCACGATGAGCACTTCCACATGGGTTTTCTGGTTGGCAGCAGCTGTCGCCTGCCATTTAGATGCACGGCGCGTGTGTCTGTGTGTGTGTGTGTGTGTGTGTGAGAACACGTGTACGGGCATTCATCTCTAAACAAATACACCCCAGTCCTCCTCACCCCCCCCCCCCCCCCGGGCACAAGCTGCCTGGGCCTTAGCATCCCTCCTGACAGAGTTCACGCACAAACGTACACTACCCTCACACTCATGTTCCCTCCAGGACTCGAGCGTGTGCAGGGCAGGCGAACACACACATGAACGTAAACACACACACACACACACACACTCCTTCATCAATTCAGACCAAATGCTGTCAAAATACGATACAAGCCGTGTAGGAGGGGCAGTAGGCGGAGATGCCACGCTGTTTTATTGTGCGCAGTATGATACTTTATGTCTGGGCATACTTACTTTTCATGTTTCTTTTGTAACAAACACAATATGCGTGTCCCCGTGGAGTTGGACATCACTCCCGTTCTGATTCACAGGACACGGCGGGTTTAAATATGTACTTTGCTTTCGCTCATAAAGGCGCTCGTTGATGTGACGGATGCTTCTTCTCCTACAAAGTGCTAAAAACACTCAAGAATGTCCATGAGCCTTTCCCCAAATTGGAGGATAAGGCAGATGGAGGGTTTTAGGTGCTTTAGTGAAAATGTGTTTCACTTTACTCTGAGTGGTGAGAAAATGAGTTTAAAATGTGTGGTCAGTAAAGTGATGAGAGCCCTCTGCAGGCTCTCATCCCACGGCCCGCGTGCCAAACTATCATGTTTTCACTCCACTTTACTGTAATATGAAACACAGCTGGAAGGTAAACGGACTGGTGTACATGATGGTTCCTCTCCAGTAGAGAACTTTTATGTTATTAAGTCTTCATTCGAAAACATAATTCTGTCTTCTATCTGTGTAAGAATAAATGGATGATGGTGTTTATCTGACCACTCTCATGTTGGAGGTCTAGTTTCTTCTGCAGAAACAGTAACTGGTCTACAATCAAGAAACGCGACATTTCCAATAATACGCAAACTAACCGGAAAATTATTGCGCTTTACCATCCAAATCAGTCTTATGTGAATTTATTTTCCCCGTACGTGCCGAGCAATATGTCAAGTGTGTCAATAGTCCAATGTGCAATAGAAAAAACATTAACAGGAAATGTAGCCAGAGCTTTCTCACCCCACCATCATAATCTAATTAAATAATTAATTTATGCAAATAAACGGTGCATCCCTTCAAAATCTACTTTGTGTCATATTTAAATATCAATAAATCATAACCTCATTTAGACACATTAGTTTAATCACGGTAATTAGTGTGTTTTGTAGAAACAAACAGATGGGTTCTGTTTGTTTGTATTCCTCAGTAGGCATTTTCATTGCATTTTACAGTTAATGACACCGGGTCCCATTTTACAGGAATTCTTTGTTGGATTACGTGATGGCTGAGAGGGAATTTCTTTCATTGTAAGGAAATACTTAGTACACAACTTTCTGCCACTATTCACATACAAAATGCCAGAACTTTGTGTTTTCCCACCTTCAGTTTCCTAGTCGCTAATCGACAAGGACTGCTAAACATGTTCCTTTGTCCTCGTCCTCAAAGGGGGAATATAGCAGCACTTAATGTCTGTAATGTTTATGAGGAGATGATGGATTTCAGTGAACTTCAGCACTGCAGGGTCTGGAATGTGTTTTTTCTTCGATTTTTTCGCCACCAGGGAGAAAAATATTTGATGGCCAACAGACGATATTTTTAACTTGAGGCCAGCAATAATGGATGGACGGATCTGAGCGCTGTGAGGTTTCCCGAGCCAGACTGGCCTCTGACCGCGAGTCCAGCACAACTCAAACAGGCAAACATGCGCGCACTAGTGAGCACTAATGAGGGTTGTGTGCCAGTTCTGACAGCTGTGTTGGTTTGAAACTGAAAACAACATGCGACAGCCTCATTTCTCCTAAAAACAACGAAGGGGAGGTTGTCGGGGGGGGGCACACAGACTATGACCACCGACCGACGCCGTCTCACAAGACCGGAAGACCTGAAGATGACAGCGGCCCGTTGGAAGGTCACAGCCTGTGCGCTACGTATCCATTTGAGCTTTTTTGGTCTGCTATCATAATGGCCGCCCGCAGGGGAGGGGGGGTTGGGGGGGTGTACTCACTGGATAGATGGAGCTGTTTTAATCTCAGAGTGGCAGAACTTCGGTGACCTTGTCAGGAGGTGTCCTGGGTCCGGGTGAGGGACGAGACTCTCCACAGGCGCAGCACACGGCGGGGGACGGGGGGGGGACGGGGGGAGGGGTGTCACGCCTCGCCCTCCGATGTAGTGGAGAGCGCCGGGGAGAGAAAGATGAGACGATGCCGGCTCGGTTCAAACTGGGGAAAAAGAAGCTGTGAAGAATTCCAGAATAAAGTCAGAAACGTACGAGGTTTTGAGTGACGAGCAAAATTACATATTGGTGAGCCAGTGATGTTTTTTAACTGGACAATTTCTACCAAAAACACTCACCAGCGCTGAGTAGAGCTGCCTTTTTAAGCCAGTAGACGTATTTGATAATAATATTCCTTTTGTCACATCCCACTGCAGAAGCGAGGGGGATTTTTCAGCTGCTTTCTTTTTTGTACTACTTGAAACAGCGTGCTCTATGAGAGACACACACACACACACACACACGCACACACAGACACACACACACACACACAGACACACACAGACCCAGCGACCTGACAAAGTACGCAGAGTCCAACACAGGAACACCAGTATGCAACACCGTACTTGTTGCCACGGTTACCAAATTATTCCCCACCAGCTCAAATGAAGCCCCCTAACCAGGCAAATTGCTACGAGCTTGTTCCCTTCAGCCACTCAGTTGTCTCGGAGCCCCTGGTCTGTGTGCTGGTTGTGCGTTGGCTGCACGTTGGCTGCACGTTGGCTGCGTGGCGCCCGGCAGTGTAGCGGGTGGGTTGTGCGCGGTGTCACTGGTGGGCCTCGGCACACAGTGAGAGACCATTTTGCTTTGGGGTCCATGTTTCACGCTTTGAGAGCGACAGGCCTCATCTAACTGTACAGACTGACTGTGACGAGAATGTAAGATTCCGCAATATTTAACACAAAAAACAATCATGACAATAAACGATTTTCCAACACCTACACAGGAGCCTGAATAAATGTGGGCGACTTTGTGCTGAACTCATGAGAGACACCCAGCGAATGCATTTCGCCTCTTACGAATGATGATGGTGATTTTGGATTTACTGATTGCTTTTCTGATGGACATTATCATTTACAATATCTCAGTAATTACTTCTGATTGCTGAAAATTGGAAGCAATCGCTTTATGTTATTTTCAGCGTGAGGGTTCCGCGCAACACATGCTCAAGATTGACTTACGACAATTAAGCGAAAATCCATTTCACACAACTATAAATAATGCAGCAGTTCTAGCAATTTAATACGATAATATCTATGATGTTGAGATGATGATATTGCGTGCTATCCATCACAATTTTGGGGCATGTACATTTCCTTTGCATTGATAAATAATTACATAAAGAGTGAGCAACCGGTAATGAGTTCAGTGAAATCAAGTCCCCACTGCCGCAGAATGTTAATCTGATGCAGGTGCCTAACTTCCCCTTCCCCTTCACTCACAAAGACAAGAGTAGGCTGCATGCAGCTTTTATCCACGTGTCTAATCTTGTTAGGGAGGACTGGGAAAACATTCACTTGACTGCCTTAAAAAACATACATTGACAATCATAGCTGGAAAGTGAGTCCGGGATTACCGGTGTATTCTCTGGCCGAGTACATCGAAATATGATGAGATCAAAAGATTCCAATGTTCTACCTATCTACGCTTAATCCCCACCAGGTTCAAGGACAGACGGATCCCGGCCTGAGCGATGGAAGAGGAGGTCAACATATTGAACGGTTGCAGGTTAATTGCAGGAAAAACACAATAAGAAATCTCAGGGACAATCTGTGGGAGGAACATGTGGGTATTACGGGTTTGATGAGGGAGCTCATTTTAAAGGCTGCCCGAGTCCCACTCATGCGAGTCACTGTGAGTGCGTGTGTTTGGGTGGAAGAGGGACAGGTGAGTTGTAGTTCCTGGGCATTCGCGCTCACTGTCATGGCTGCCTGGGACACTCGATGGAATTAAGCCATTCTTAAATAAATGCATTTTGCCTGTGCTTTTCCTATCACCCAAATCCAAGGTCTAAGGTCTTATCTTTGCTGAAAGCCACCAAAAGTTCAGACCAGCTGGTCCATCTCAATCCGGACTCCACATTTCTCTCCCGTCCTGCTTTATCCATCGGCTACTTTGTCCTTTTCTTCAAGTACCTTGTGGGTACTTTGAACGTTAAAGATTGCCAAGATGAGACATCCGCACCGCCCTCTGTCTCGTCCCTCTGAGTATCTATTCATCCTCCGTCCGGCCCACCCAGCTTTAATGAACGGGACGCCCTCGCAACCCGCTTTGCAGAGGAAATTTTTCTGCTTTAATCGCTTGACAATCAACACTCATGTCGAAATTTCAATCTATTTGGTTTTAAGACGCAAATATCAAAACACAGTTACTGCTGTTATGCCATGCAGATCCATCTGTTAAAAAAAGGAAACTGATGGAGGCCATCCATCACCGTGAAACTCATTAACCATTGCATAAGTAGGCCCGAACCTTCTTCTTCACGACACTTGCCTGCGTGTCAATGCAAACACGTGGGACGGGTTCACGTGTGGCGCGTCACTAATGAGCAGCGGCAGGGGCTCCGCCCTCTGCATTCATCGCTCAGCCCTCTGCTTCCAAATGCCGTCCGCTCTGCTCAAGGTTAATTGCTTTCTAGGGCAGACGCAAGTGGCTTGTAAGTAGCGTGTTCATGCAGCTGTTGCCACGTGTTTGTTGTTGTGTCTGCGTCGTGCGCATGTACACCGCTGTCAAACTAAATCAGCATCACAAGTGATGTCGAGTCTTAAATAAAATAGGCGAGCACGTGTTTAACCACCTCTTGCGGATACTGAGTGTGCAGCACAGTGACAAAGACACGCGCGAGGTCCTTCTGTAAGTAAATGTCAACCGTCAGTCCATTGCTCACCTGGAGACACAAAGAACACACGTGGCCATCAGCAGCCATACGGCCAGCGTGGCACCAATGGCGAGGATCCAGGTCGGGGGAACACATTTTAAGATGGCGGTTCACCCGCTTCCCTGAATATGATTTGTATTTAAGCATGCGCGAAGCTTAGTTTGAAAATGTTAACTTCTTTGGAAGCCTCGCTGTGTCGTATTGAACAACTCATCCTGGTCCCATCAATAAACAACGGGTTAAAGGAGAGGATAAACTCTCTTATTCATGTTGTTTACATGCAACGAAGACCCGCCGTAAATGTAGACTCTAAGTTCAGCATGTAATGCAGCATCTCCATCCCAGCAGCAGTTACGTTTTCCATTAACCTCCTTTGTGTCACTGCATTGCATCGAAACATGTTTTCAGACTCGCTACCGTGCAGGGATGAAACGCCTACATCACAAGAGTGGAAATGGTCCATACGTGTAGGTGCTACGCAGCCCGAGGGCAACAGTACGCCGCCAGAGGAAAATCACGCTTAATAATCAAAATCGCTGAAAGGTAGCGGCCTCACATGTGAGAAAATGTTTGTTGCAGCTATAAATGATAGAAAACCTTTGATTCCCCAGCGTGAGTTAGTAGCCTTTTGGCGTTGACACTTTCAAGAGGAAATGAAAAAGATGACAGCGCGTTATAAATACTGTATAAGGATATTTATTTCAACGGGAAGCCTGAATCTCCACAGAAGAAGACAAAATATGGTGAAAAGCCAGAGAGAGCGCAGCGTAAATCGGCTCTGTGCTCCACGTTGAGCATTACACTTTCAGATGGCACTCGGTCTGCTCTGCAAACCGGTCACAGACATGACCGGTTTTGTACCGACGAACGCACTCGCGGGTAGTTAGTGTTGGTTTGTGGGTGCGTGTGCCTCACATACCAAATCTGCATACCAATTATGGTCAAATTGGAACCAAAACTGACACCGCGGTGTGCGTCCTTCTGCTATTAAGACACGCACAAACGCACAAGGGCGGCTCACTATTGGCCGGAGCAATTAATAATGTTGTTGCACACCAGTGTCACCGAGTCCTCCTGTTCGGGGGACTTAATAGACAGGTGAAGGCTTACCGCAGTCAAACAAAACAAACTCACACACACACATGAACCAGACTGCCCGGGCCGGACCTGACAGCCGGCCAGCCTCTGGTCCGCCGCCGGGTCAGACTCGTTAACTGTTTTCCACCGCCATTTAAAGCCACTTAGCACAGGAAACAATTCCCTCCCTCCCCGCGTACCCACCCCCCTCTCTGGATTATTCGACCGCTCTCTTCATTTTCTTTATGACAGACGCACTGGGTTCTGGCCCTTCAGCAAAGCCCATTAAGGCCCGTTGTCTCGCGGGAGCAATGGCCAGCCGAACCGGCACGGCCTACTTAGAGTCCAGGGGATTCATCACAATCTAAAGGGAAGCGAGCTGTGGAAGCCATTTGTTTCTTTTCCCCTCAAGAGGCAAAAAAACTCTGCGGAGACGGAGATAAAACAGGGAATTTGTGAGGCCATTTGAGTGACACAATCATGAATGTATAAACTGCCGCACTCCCACAACGTGTCATCAATCACATTCAAGCTGTTGGAGATGCTCAGGTCACGGGGGTACAAATTAGCGTAATAGCGGTACGTGGCCATCAAAACTGAGCACTATTCTTTTTCAACGCCAGCCGCCACACCGGAGACACTTAAGTTGGTTTGATCACGGCAATCCATCACACAGGCAGTCAGTTGGTTGCCTACGCAGATTAATTACTGTGAAGGCAGACGGAAATCAGGTCGGGGAAGTGCCGATTCAGCAAGTGTCTAATGCGAGAAGAAGACAGGAAAGTGACAGAATCTAACACAAGACACGGGATACAAAAAGGCAGAGGAGTCAGGTAGAAAGTCAAAATGCTGATAAAACAGCCGGTAATTTCATAATTCAGTCATCAAGACAGACGTTTAATCCACTGAGTTTGATTAAATTTGACAAATGGAAGAATTAAAACAGAAATACGGCCAAATGCTGAATAAAAGTGAGGCCGACACCGTTTGTCAGGTTGTGATCACAGGATGCTCAATTACTTTTCAGTATTAATGTAATTTGTTCTTTAATTTAAATAAATGAACTCTAGACTTTTCCAACATTTAGAACATCTGAACATTTTACACCGGGGTCATTAATCATGTATTGTTTTTAATGTAATTTCATTACTCTCTTAGTCCAAAGCCAAACAACTCACTGCCATCGGGTCAAATATAAGACAAAAACACAACATCCACTCAACTTAACCCACATCAGTTATCCAGCAGATAAGAAATCAACTCAAAAATATTTAATTACAGCAATAAGCGAGTCAGGAATCAATTCATTCCTGACTTGTTTTACCTTATACATAAGCAGCAGACGATCAAAACGAACAGAAAAGACGGTTAATTAAGAGAATGCTCTGTTTGCAAGACAATTACATGTTGTCATTATTTCCCCACGCCAACATACAACTGTACTCTTAGCTACGGCGTGTGGTGCCAGCAGGACGCATCCCGTGACCATGGCAACACCCGAAGAAGAAAAGGAGTTATTCCAAACCACGTTACGTCGACTTGTTTTCAACAAAACATCTGAAGGTCATTAAGGATCGAGTATGTCAATCTGCGTATTAATCAAACACAGACTATTACATTATCCAGGGACATTGAGTAATCTCTTTACGTGACTGCTTTATGACACTCAAATAGAATCAAACGCGCCATCGAGGGACGGTCGGAACGCACTAATGGAGAGAGACAGTTGGCAGCTTCCCCTCCATCTGCGGAGCGGCACATAACTGGAAAAGGCCGGCCTGAGGTTGAAAGTCTGTTCTCTCCTATAGGAGTGATTTATTCAAACATCCGGGATACACTTAAATATCAGCGCTGCATCGCTGCTGCCTCTGCTGCCCCTCCGGCAAGGTCATTCCCTTTTCCTTTTTTAGATGAGTAAAATATAATCCAGCGGAGCTCCTCCCCACGGAGCCACTCTTGAATCATTGAAGTGGTGCTGTGCAGTGCGATACTGAATTGATTGCTTTTGTTGGGTTTCTTTTTTTCCCTGTAATTGTTGCTTGCATAGCGAAGGTTATTGTAGGTTCGCTCAAAGAATGCCGTTCCCTGCAGCTGATAAGGATTCATCCATACACCAGGCTGTGATTTATTCCCACAGGTAACAGCGGGGCGTTCTCTGCAGTAAGGAAGCCTTATCCCAGGGCCTCTGATGAACGGAAAGTATAAACCGCGGATATTAGATGCAGCAAAATGTCCTGGACTTAAAAGCATGCCGATAAAGCTCCGCGTTAGTTTTGCAAAAGGTCACAGAGGGCAGAACTTCCCGCAAGGCACCGTTCACACTTATAAAGCACGGCGTTCCCCGCGTTTTTTACAGAATGCGCATGTGAATGTGTGTGTTCCTGCTCTGGAGGAGATCTAGCGTGTGCGCATCCTCGTCAGTCGTTTTCATTTAGAGAAGAAATTACATTTATGCAGTGTTTGTAGCAATTAGCATATTTTCCATTTGTGGAGTAACTGCGCTCCTCGGGCAATTATATCACGCGCCACATTCATTATGGGACTATCGTGCTCTCATTTGGGAGAAAGGCACAGTTTCAGAAGTTCAGAACGCTGCGGAGAATCATGTCAAAAACGTCAACAGAAAAATTACCTTGAACATGTTTTATGACACGTACACTCATACGGTGCCTGTAACATTAGAAGCTGTACGGTTGATTGAGAAAAGAACTTACAACTCCTCTTACTCTTTTCTAAGAGTTGTAAAACGTAGTAGTAAAACGTGGACGCGTGTTGTCACCACGAACCAGGACACCAACACCATCAACTCAAGTCAGAAGTTAATAGTTTATTGATTGTGGAGCGAGCGGGTGAGGTGACATGTGGAGAAGGCGTTTCGGGGGATGAATCCACTATGGCTTCAGGGCTCCTGAGGGGGGGTAAGCAGTAGCGGGGTTGCACTTGTATTCCTGCAAGATCATCTGTCATTTGCACCTCCTGTTGTTTTAGGTACGTGTATCGTACATGCTGCTGCCCTGCTTGGCAGGTTTAACGCTTCCGTACACCAGGGCGCCGTGGGAAAGGCCGCCGGCGCCCTCGAGAAAAAAACATTTAGGACATTTTCGTCCCCCTTTAAAATTCACAGGCATTCATAATGTCTCGAGGACATTTTTGTTTTCTCAAGCCTCATTGGTTTGCGGCGGTCAGCCACGGAGAAACCTCTCCGCGTCTCCGCCGAGGCGACTTTCATAGAGATCAGAGAGCGGAGGAGCGTTCACCTCCTCGCCGAGATGCAAGCGCGACCTGCACTCCACGCTGCATCCGCCGCCGTGTCGTTGTGCCTCGGTGGCAGCTTCAAACATTCACAACGCATCCCCATCCGGATGAGCATTCCGCTCAGGCTTCACACGTTCCCTCTTTTCACATTATTCATCCAAATGCACTCATCTGCTCATTAGTATTCTGAGGAGTGGGAGCTTTATTCTCCTCTTTAATGACGGTGCTGTTGGTGACAGGTGATGATTTCAAGCAAACAATATTATGATTGCTTTTCTCCTCCCTCATTAGTATTCATTCTGGTCGAGTCATTCCTTAGTGTTTTTCCCTATTTTCAATTGTTCTATCAGATAATTGGAAAGAAATTGCCACCGTTTCTCCAGCAGCAAAACAGCAACCGCCCAGACAAATACTGACTGAAAGAAAGAGGAAATGCTGGTAAATTCTCATTCAGACAACGTACCAACATGAATGCATCGACTGAAAAGCCAGTTTACAAAACCTCTGCGAGACATTCTGGTCTCAAATTAGGACGAGCGTTTTTCTTTCTCAAACGCTCCCGTGAAATAAAGCTTCATTAAATGGCAGCAAAGAATTCCTTCAACACAAAGTCTCCCCGGTGGCTTTTCAGACTAACGCGGCATCTCTGCAGCGACTTCTCAGGCACCGCGGAGACAGAGGGAGGCCACTGTTGACTATTAAAAAAACCACTGGCACATTGAAGCTCTTCCGCTGGGTAGTTGGAAGATGTTTTCTAAATCCTAAGCAGCGATAAGACAGAAGGATGGAGGGAGTCTCAAAATAAGATGGAGATGGAGAACTGATCTCGGCGATGATAATGCCGACCAGCCAGACATGGGGAATGTGCTTGTAATTAGGGAAGCTAATTCATATTATCACGCCAAATGTAATTTAGGTAATCTTCACTGTAATGACTCGTCTTCAATCCCCCGTATCACAAGTGGTTTTATTATAGATTCAACTCGTGCAACGTCTTCACCAGACTCTCAAACGCACCCTCGAAATCCCCCTTCGAGCGACGAACGAGAGTAAAATAATCATCGGCTTGATCAACAGATCTAAGTGTAGATTGTTCCAGAGACACAAAGTTAAGTTTAGCCAGTGTCGTCGAATAATGTATTCTGCCACATGACGTTGGAATGGTTTCTGTTTTCTTTCCTCTAAGGATTACGTGGGGGTTTTACTGTTGCAGCGTGAACTTTTAAAGGTCAAATGTCACAGTTTGATAACTACCATGAGACAGCACATCTCCTGGATATTATGTTATGCTAATATGATGCAGCAGATTTCAAGAGAAAGTAATGTCATCCAAATTACTAATGAAACATGCAACTATTCCTGTGTCGTCTAATCTGTTGGAAAG